ACTGACCTACTGGGCAGCTGGACATGCACCTGTAAGTACCATTCAGTAATCCATCCACAAATCTGCTGTGTTTAATTTGAACTTTTGCTGTAGCACAGCAGTACACAAAGACTGAAACAAGTCACAGGACGCCTTTTCCTGCTGAAAAGCCAACATCAGCAGAAGCACAGAGGACATGAGATGCACACAGCAGGGACACAGAGAGCAAAACTCTGAGAGGATGATGAGTCTGAGAGGGACGCGCAAGAGGAAGAGAGGGAGTGAGTGAGAACGAAGGGCACAAAGAAGAAAGTGATGCTCAGCAACTTTACCAGTATCATCTTTCTGCACAATCATCTTCAGCTCAGATCCACAAACACACATATGCACCAACAAGCACAGGTTATTGCAGTCTGGTGCTTTCTACTTACATGAGATGTTTTAGACCACAGCTCTTTAAATCAACTTATCTGGAGATTTGAGAGCAGAAACTTCAAATTGTAGAAGTAATATTATATCTCTGTGTGTATTCTCAGAGCATGTAAGTGGAAGGAATCCTGGACAAAAGGATGAGCCGAGTGAAAGGAGCTTTCATGAGTCTAACAAATACATTTACCCATTTCTAACTCTGCTATAACATACACCATTTGATTTATATATGAATCCCAATTTTCAAAGAGCAGGGGATTTGTATAGTTTAGTATTTCCCAGATAAGTCTGTACAGCTCACTTCTAATGCACATATCTGATTAAGTCTCAGCACAGGGACAATCTATGAATAACAGCACTTTGGAGGTTTGGTCCATTATTAGATCCATATCCATACAGTATACACGATATCCTAATGACTCATCTGCAGGTACAACTCAAACAAAAGTTCCCTGAGCCTCTCCCTTAAGCCTCTTAAATTGGAACCAGTACCCAGAGTATTCACTTGATTACATCATAAAGTGAATTTGTGATGTTCAGCTCCTGGAGGCGAGAGCTGCATGTATCAGCGATTTTTAAAATGTCAATTAAAATGAACAATTATCTCGTGGAGAAAGAAAATCAAGTTAGGATGATTAACTTTGACCATCTGACGCGTCAAATTGCTCAGACACGAACGTCACTCCGTCGACCACGTCTGTAGATGCGCATGCGTGCTGTTGAAACAGGTGAAAACGTCTGTGTTTTTGTGGCTGAATATTAGAGTCCAAGGTTTGGGAATAAACGGCGAAAACTCCTTAAAGCAAGGCTGAGATTGGAGGTCAGATTAAGCATGATCGCGTGGATTAGGGATAAAGACAGCTTCAGATTTATGTAAGCGGAAACGGGCATCATTTCCCCCAGAAAAGTCCCGAGCACTGCAATCAACATTTTTTTCAGGGGGCAAAGGAGAGGGGCCCGTGGTTGGTCTGCATGATGCCCCCCCACCCACACACACACACTCAAACACACACACTCTCAAACACACCCCCTCTTGCGGTGGAAACCCTGTGCGGGCTGCCATGTGAGGCAGCTTCCTGAGGAAAGCCAACTGCTGCTGGAGTTGTCTTCCATCAGAAACGCAACATTATATATAGCATTACATATAGCATCAATTTTTGGACTCACTTAAGAGGAAAGTAATTTTCCAAGAACCTATATATAGGGAAACTATATCCCTCTCCATCATCACCCCTACAGCATGCAGCTTACCATGCCCACTGCTCATCTCTCGCCTTGCCCACTGAGCATCCTCGCCTCTCCGCTTTTCTCCTCTCCCAAGTCCTCAGCGTCGATAATATTCCCCCGAAATAAAACTGACTAAGCAGGGCAACCACAATTATCCTCCAGCGGTGCGCGTTTTGAGGAATCTTTGAAAGGGGGTGTCTGAACGGGGGGCCTGCCCTAGATGACGCGAGCCGCTCGGCCTGACAGTCAGTGGTAAAATCCGCATAGGACAAGGATAAGCCACAGCACACGGCTCTCTCACAGTCTCTCTCACTTCAGGCAGCACCGTCCACACACTCATACAGCACCGGCAAGGCCAGGGACGCATAGCACACACAGCGGTCACGTGGGTGAGCGTAAAAAAAGAGGCGGGGACGGGGGCGCCTCGTTTGCATACTCAGTGGTACGGTTACCTTACTATCATCCACTGATGGGAGTTACAAAGAGTGAATGAGGCAGGTAAATACATACAATACATACATAAAAATACTTCAAATTCACTGTGTCAGAGGAATAAAGTGTATTAATTCCACAACAAAATATAGCATACATCCTCTATAACAGGTTTTATTATATATGTTTGCAAATATTCTCCAGAATGCTGTGACTCCCCTCTCACTTCTTATTAATAATGTGTGTCTTTCACATCTTCCATATTAAGCTCATCCATCAGGTCACACAGGTTGTCCACTAGATCCTCCATCAGAGCATAAACCTGTCAGATAGGTAGAGACACATATTTGGTATGAGGAAGACCAAACAGATTAAAGCAATGGCATAAATTCTAACCTAACTACATTTCCTGGGTATGACTCAAGAGTGCTTAAAAATGCAGACTCACACAATTTTTAATCACACAACAGTTTAGTCTTTTCAGCAGACTCTACCTATCGAAATCCCCACTATTCAGAAACACAGGTAGTTTGTAATGCCGTCTAAAACTCCCAACGTGTTCCAGCCTGGCCTCAGATATATGATGATGTCATCATGGTAATTTTCTCAAACTATGGAAACTCTTGTCAAGTACTGAATTTAAACATCAGTGTGGAGTATTTGAAGTCAATTAAATTACATGCCTTGCTGTGCAGAAGCCTCGTGTAAACAGGCATCATCTTCACTACATTTGTTTGTTTAGGAGGCGGTTGAAGGATGCTCTCTGACTCATTTTCTTGGTTTTCCAAAGTTCCCTTTATCTTTGTTGTTTTTCCCTGATGCCCTTTTCCTGTTTCCTTTTCTCTTTCCCCCTTCTTGTCCTGCGGAAAGATAGAGTTAAAATTAATGAGTGAAAGATATCAGTATTGCTTACAGAGAAATAATATTGTTAGCAAATAATTTAAGAATTTAAAAATTGTTTCTGTAATGTTTCTGGACATAAACTTACGAGGAATTTTCCTATCTAAGCATCATAATATAGCTAGGCAGCTATCAAAATAATTCTTTACACGCAAGGCACAAGGCTTAAAACCAGCACTGCATGGGCGTGTTCTTCAAGGAAGCACTGTGTTAAAAGCAAATACAATTCTATCGTGAAAATCTCTGCATGGGTTTGGGGACATCAAACTATTGCCAGTGAATACTCTTCATCCCGTTTCTACATCCACAAACATACAGGTGGCACACGATTAAAAAATACAATCCACTATATATTGGGATGTTCATGCAGGCTCCACTTATGCTGAATCAAAAATGCATATTTTATACAGGAGTCTTTGTTAGGGAAAGTGCTGCAAGGCAAAACCAGACAGTAGACGAGTCTGGATGCTAGGACAACATGAAACAAGAAGCAACAATGGGAAAACACTTGACAAACACAGTGACTTATCTATTTTGTTTCTGAATGCTGCAGTAAAAACAGCCACGTCCTACTTTTATGAATTGTACATATATATTAAAAAGTGACATAATAAAAGACAGTACATTTTCATATATATATGTTTAAGTCAAATTGCTGAATTTCAGAATCTGACATGTTGTCTTTGAAGTACTTTTAACAGAGGATTTAAACGGCTCGAGAGTCACTGCATTCTGTTTTGCAGACCTGTGGAAATGAGGCCATGCAATGAGTTGAAACGGCTTGTCCAGTTCAGAACGACCACCTATTTTATGTCATGTTGTACACTGGATGCCCTGTCCTTTTTGAGTTAATGTATAGCTGCCACAGATGGCTTGGACTCACACCCTGGGCACACAGTTGGTGAGCAGGTGCACATTTTCACACAGTGTTCTGTTACCATGGTACCCTGCGAGTAATACGCTGCACCTTACCTATGACTCAACCGTCATACAGAGCAGAAAATCACTCAGCAAAATATGTAGTCACACAGACAAAGCCGTGCTTCTAATCTAATACTTCATCACTCAAGCTCATAATTTGTGAATAGGACTGGTTATAATGAGGTAGGATGCATTGTGGATAGATGCAAAAACAACAACAACAACAAAAAAAAAACTATCAAATGCATTAGAATTAGTACTGAATAAAATTTTTGCTGAATATATTAACCAATTTGCCAAAGCACGAATAGCCAGTACCATGTTTTGCTTATCCATTACAATAATCTCTCTAGGAAGCAAAACACTAAATAGAGCCATTTCACATTCTGTATTACTAGTTTTTTAGTGGTAAGACAGAATGTGGATGGAGACAAAATGAATGTACCATAAAGATGCTTCCAGCAGGCAACTATAGAAATGGTTAAAATGTTTTCCTTACTTAAAATAAAGCACTGTAAACCAAACACACATACTATGACACATATAAAAAGTATTTTTAGGAAATTACCCTATAGAACAGAAAACTGCAGGTGTCTGTATTACTGACAACAAGCAGTCAGTAGTAACAACAAAACAGGCATCTGTTGAATGACTGATGAATGAATGAAGAGCTGACAGCTTGCCTGAAGTGGTGAAGGTGACTCATGTGTGTATCAGCTCAAGTATTGTGTCATATCTTACAAAATGACACTTTATTCATGATCACAA